GGGGGGGGGGGGACGACAACCGGCTGGACTCACAACTATCTGCAGCATGCGTATGGGCTCTGCCTCCTGGAGTGTGATGGCTTCGGGAGACAGCACAGTGACCAGGGGCCTGTCTGAAGGGGCAGGGAAGTCACACCAACCGCTCTGCTTCTTTCCAAGTTCCCACACCCATGTGAGGCAAAAGCATGGACTCTGGAGTCAAGTCAACCTGAGTTCCAGTCAGGCCCAGGCCAGTCACTGGCATTTTACCCTGAATACATTGCTTAGCCACTATGGGCTTCACTTTTCTCATCTGTAAGATGGGGAATAAAAGTTCTGATCTCATAAAACCAGATCCTTTTTTTAAAAAAAACTTACTTTTAATCCTCACCTGAGGATATGTTTTTATTGATTTTTAGAGAAAGAAAGGGAGAGAAATGTTGATGTGAGAGAGAAACATCAATCGGCCGCCTCCCGTATGTGCCCTGACCAGAGATCGAACCCGAAGCCTAGCTATGTTCTCTGACCTGGAATCAAACCCTCAGTCCTTTGGTGTATGGAATGGTGCTCCAAAGAACTGAGCCACCTGACCAGGGACAGGGCCTGGCTCTTAACAGAAGCTCAAAGATGGTTATTTCTTCAGCTGTTAGAGCTTCCTATGCCTCTCACCAGAAAGAAAGCCCTCTGCTCACCTGGCTTCCCAGGCTCTGTAGGGACTTCAGAAGGGATCTCCTCAGGAACTCTCTCTGGGGTCACAGCCTCCAAAAGTTGTCTAATCTTTGGGGAGGGATTGGAGACAAAAGATAAGGTTCAGCTTCCGGCTTCTACTTTCCTACTTTCACAATCTTATTCACACAATGGACAGCAATACCCTTTTATGCCTAATTCTTGTATTAGCATGCAGTGGACCCACTCACCATCTGGTCTCCTTTCCTCCCGTTCCTACCCTCATAGCCCCCTTCCCCCACACACCAGTTACATAGCTTTTGTCAATTTGACTGTGCAAGAAGTACTGCATCCTTATGTCAGGTATTGTGGGGGACAGCAGGAAAAGAAATGATTCTTGATCTTAAGGAGCATATGGTCTAGAGGGGAGACAAGTTTGTATATGACCTTAGTAAGGGTCAACGCAAAGGATAAAACAAGGCCCTATGTGCTGAGTTCCAGAACAACATCTGGTTCTGGCTGGGAGTGGGACAGAAGCTGCAAGCAAAAGGGTAGCATTTGAGTGAGGTCTGTAAGGATATGTAGGATTTACTAGTAGAGAACAAGGGACGACCATTATGGGCTTAAGCAAAAAACTGAATGTGGCATCTTTTGGATGAGGGGCCAGGCTGGTGTGTTTGGGAGACAAAGATGCCCAGAGAATTTGCTGAGATGTCTGGGGATGGCTAGCTCTGAACCAAGGCAGAGAGTCTATTTGCAGTGGGGAACCACTGGAGGTGTCTTTGAAGGAAAGAAATAACATTGTCTAAGTTGCGGGGGTGTTGGAAATGGATGGAGAAGGACGTGGATAGGGAAACTTAGTGCTGAAGGGCAATGAGGGCCTGGATTAGGGCCTCAGCAGTGGGAACAGTATGGAGATGAGTAGGGACAAGAGCTGCCTCTAAGTTGGTCTTGAGTAAGTAAGTGGAGTAGGCTTGTCTGGATTGGTCCACCATGACAGTTCCCCAGCACTGACTCCTGTGGGGCAGAGCTGTGGCAGCTCCCTTTCCCTAACCCCAGTGTCAGACTGGTGCAGGAGCAGCACTGCCCTTCTGTACTGTCAACTCATCAATCTGAGGGTGTCCTGGGAGAATGAGCCCCACCTGAGGTATATCGAAGGGGCTTGGAAGTCTGGGGTCTACAGACATCATCCCAAAAAAGGGATCTGGGGCATCTTCCAGGGTCTCCATCATGGCCAGGCAGTTAGGAAGCAGCAGGCTGGGTCTGAGAGAGAATGTGGCTGTCAAGGACTGAGGTTGAGATGGGCTGAGGCCAAGCAGGGAGGTTCCTCACCAAAGGCTGGTGGTCCCAGTCCCAGGGGGACACTCACAGTTCAGTCTCCACCATATCTATGCGGATCTGCAACTGGGCACGGTGCAGGCGCTCCAGGATGTGCTGGATGTCCTCTGTGGGTGAGGAGGGCAAGGTAAAGAGCCAGCCTAGCTGAGGGCCACTCAGCTCTGCCCCACCTCCCTGGAGCCTTCCCAGCCTTACCTACGAGGTACTGGCATTGTTGTGAGTAGACCCGGATCACGCCGATCTGGAGCTGGGCTGAGAGATAGAGGGAGAAGCGGGGCCGCGGCAGGCCGGGTTGTGGGGGTTCCACTTGTACCAGCACATAACTGAGGATTTCCTCGCTGGGGGAACAAGATGCCCCGATCACTTCCGTGACTGCCCCAGAACCAGGCCCAGAACCTTGCCTACCCCAATCCACCCCCTAACCCACGCCAGCACCAGGTCACCCATCCCTTTTCTGGGCCTTACCAGGTCTTTACCACATTCACCTTCAGATATTCACGCTTCACCAACCGGCTGCCACGCGTTGCTGCCAGCCTGGACAGGGTGGAAGTGGGGAAGTGGGGGAGGCTGTCAGGCGGGGATCCCGGGGCACCCCGCCTAGCTCGCCTACCCTGGCTCCGCCGCTTTTACCAGATAGTGGAGAAGCAGCCGGTGTGGCGCTGAAGCACATTGGGATAGTAGAACATCGCCCCTCCGGGGTTTCACCCTCTTGTCTCTACCACTCCTCTCTTCTGATCTCAGTCTGAATTCTTTAGGGCACGGGATTTCCCAGCACCGTAGGAGAAAAGTAAGGATTTGGATAGGTGGGTCAGCGGATGGACCCAGAATGCCAAATAAATGAACCGATAAACACGTGATGAATAAACGACTAAGGGGACAAGTAAAAGGAAACGCAGGCTAGATATACAGGGATGCTCCCTCCATCAGCCCTGAAGGGTTCGCACGCCACGTGGGTGCGTGGAACTTACCCGAGCAGGTTGGAGATGCAGAGGTCCCGAGGAACGGCTGCCCTCCGCGGAGATGCCGGGCTCTGGAGCCTTTGCTCTCAGCTAGGGCAGCCGCCGTCTCACCGGGTCTCGCGTCTGCGGGCCTAGATCCCGCCGCAGGGAGCACGCGCTCGGATGCTCCTCGCCCCTCTGCTCACTAGAAGACGGTGGCCACCAGAACAGCCAATGGGAACAGGGGTCTGCGTGGCTGAGCTCGTTCCAGAGCGCAAGCTGCCTGCCGGGGTCGAAGCGAACCAATCGGCAGAACCCTGCGCGCTGCTGGGCCATTGTGAGGTGGCCTGACCAATGGGCTCTCGTTCTCTTGTCTGGTAACAAGGGTTCCCCGAAGGTGCTGCTCTGCCGACCAATGAGAGGAGAGCAAATTTCAGCGTCTCTCGCACTCCAGCCTGGTAACAAGTGTATTTCCACCAGGAGGGTCATGCCTGGGGCAACGGCCTTGGCCTTGTTCGGCGCCTGACCTGCGGTTAGTGCTTGCCCTCCTCTCACCAGATCCCCCCAGGCAGCAATTGATTTGTCCATCTTTGTGCCAGCTTTGGGCCTATCCTGAACTGGGCAAGTAGAAACGGTGTGAGGTGGCCTGGGAGCCACCACAGTTCGATGGGGGAAAAGTCAGATCTCACAGGAAGTAATGAGAGGACTTGCTGGGTCGTTTCCTAAACTTGAACAGTTTAGGTTGCAGGCATGCCTGATCTGGCTGTTTTCCAGTTGTGAATGTTTTCCTGGCTGAAATAGACTTTAGCTTTGTTGGAAGCAGGATATACTCTAAGCACCCAAAGACCATTTGTCTCAAACAATTCTTCGTGTAAAATTATGTTCTGGTTACAAATATCTCTTGTCTCCATGCCTCCTGCATTTGCACAGCCATTTCTTTAGTAGATGCCCTTCCCAGGCTTGACTCCAGGGCATGCTTCTGCCTCTTTAAGACTCAGCTTTTATTGCAGCCCAGCTGACACTACTTTATTTTGCTCTTTCAATCTGGGAGCTCTTGAGATTGGGGTCCTGTGTTTTCAATTAGTGCCTGGAACTTATAAGGTTCAGTAAATATTTGCCAAATGACTGTGCAATTACTCTAAACTTACAACCACAGAATGTCAAGGCTAAAAGGGATTTCAAAATCTAGGCCAAACCTTGCCTTTACAAATGAAAAAATGGAGGCCCATAGAGACTCTTTCTCCCGGACCACACAGCTCCTTAGTCACAGCCTGGTTGGGAACTCTGCTCTCTTGAATTTCATGTTCCCAGTCCCTATTCCACCATGTTTGGCTAAATTGGCTTCTACAAGAGACTTACAGTTGTTTCAATCATTGTACATAATTTGTCAATATTCACAAGTGTTCACATTAGGGCACAAAGATGATAAAATGGGGGCGCCTTCCCTTAAGGCGCTTAGAACCTAGTTTAGGAGATAATTTGTTCACCCATCCATCCATCCATTCATTCAACAAGTATTTATTACACGCCTACAATGTGCCAGGTGCTCCTCTAGGCACTGGGGATATAACAATGAACAGAACAGTCCCCGTTCTCATGGCGTAAGGAAGGAGAGAAGATAGACAAGTAGAAAAGTAGAAGTACATGAAGTGGTCAGTGCTATGAAGAAAAATGAGGCAGCGTAGGAGAATAGAGAGTAGTGAAGACCGCTATTTAGGTAGGGAGCTCAGGGAAGAGAGGGGCCAAGTCATGTGCCTACCTGAAGGAAGAGTATTTTAGACAAAAGAACCAGCGAGTATAAAGGTCCAGAGGCAAAAATGTGTTTGGTGGGTTCAGGGAGCCTGGAGCAAAGTGACTGAGGTGAAGAATGGCAAGGGGTGATGTTAGAGAGGAAGAGAGTGGCCACATCACAAGGACCATGGAGGCCATTGTAAGGATTTGGGCTTTTAACCTGAGTTGAGAGCTAATGGAGGATTTTGAGCAGAGTGACATAAAAGATTTATGTGTTGAGAATAGGCTGCAGGTGGACAAGAGTGAAAGCAGGAAAGATGTGGAAGGAAGCACAAAGAGGTGTGAGAGAGAATGGCGACTAATTCCAAAGTGGTGGTGGTGGAAGCGAAGAGGTCAGATTTGGGATAGCACTTTTTTTTTTAACATCTTTATTGATTTCAGAGAGAGGAAAGGAGGGGGAGAGAGATAGAAACATCAATGATGAGAGATTCATTGATAGACTGCCTAGCCCGCGACCCGGACATGTGCCCTGACTGGGAATCGAACCCTGATCTTCTGGATCCTAGGTCGATGCTCAACTGCTGAGCTGTGCCTGGCTGGGCTGGGATAGCTTTTGAAGGCATAATGACAGGACTTGCTGATGGATTGGATGTGGGGCCCCAGAGAAAATGGAGATCAAGGAGGTAGCAGGTACAAAGGTCCAGGAGGGATTTCAGCAGGTTGAGGGCACAACAGGGCTTGTGCAGCTGTGCACTCAGTGCCTGATTTCTTCAACACTAATGCATAACCTGTCTAGGTTCCTGGAGAAGGATGGGAGAGACTGAAGAGAAGGAAGGCCTAAGGAGGCAGAAAGGCTCAAAAGCAGCACTGAAGTTTGTCAAGTGAGCCAGCAAGTTCCTCAAGGACCTAGGTATTCAGATTTAATCATGTAGGTGATATGTATGATTTGATCATGAGCTATCGAAGGCTTATGAGAGTGACATGACAGGGAGGAATCTGGTCTGGGAGGCCCCTTCTCCTCTAATCTGGTGTCATGTACAGGAAGGAGGAAGCTGGAGACCATGACAATCACATAAGTGGTGACTTAGGTCTAAACTGGAATTGATTACACAGAGGGGAAGGATGACAAATAACCTTGTGAAGAAAAAATTTCCAATTTGGTGGCAAATAAACACAGGGTGAGGGACAGGAGTGTCAGCTTATTTGGACCCCTCAAATCTCAGTGAACAATGTTGGTAACATGGCAGTCTGGGCCAGATTGTCTTTTGTGGAGCTCAGGTAGAGTGAAGAAACCAGTTTGGGAGTACCCTTCAGAGGGGGTGACAGTGCACCATGTGCTGGGAGAAGCCCTGGTCTGCCCCAGGCACACAAGGTTCAGCAACTCTTCCCTCTGATTTTCCCTCCCAGCAGGCCCCAGGGACACCATAGTGTCAGGTCAACTTCAAGTTCTCCTGTTCAGCCTGTCCAGCGTGGCTCAGTGGTTGAGCATCCACCTATGATCCAGGAGATCATGGTTTGATTCTTGGTCAGGGCACATGCGTGGGTTGCAGGCTCGATCCCCAGCAGGGGGTGTGCAGAAGGCAGCAGATTAATGATGACTCATCATTGATGTTTCTATCTCTCTCTCTGAAATCAATAAAGGTATATTAAAAAAAAAGTTCCCCTGTTCATTCAGACCTCCAGTCCTAGGCTTGTTGTAAAGGCCCAAATCAGATAGCTCTAGCAAGGAAATGTGTAGCCCAGATCTTTCCATGTAAAGTTGGTGGCTATAGTGGCTGTAGGATGAGTGTCCCTTTTGGTGGCTGATCCTGACCCTAATCCTGGTTGCGTAGAGGGTACAGAGAGCCAGGCCCCAAACCTGCAGTGTCCAGACTGTTTCCTTGCCAGAACCTGTGGGTGGAGGAGAGGAAAGGGACCCAGAGATGTCAGCAGGAAGAGAACCCACGTGCCCTACTCTCAAGTTACATCTCTGTTATCTCCCTGCGACTCCTGCTACATTATTTTCCCAACAAATCAGATACTGATTCCTTTTTCAATAAAATTTTATTTTAAATCCTTAGTGAAGATTTTAAAAGAAAATATAAAGTGCTTGGCTTTAGGGTTGGGGGAAGGGGAAATGGTTCCCCTGAGTTCACACCATTTGGATTTTCCCAGTTCAGTTCCTCAGAGATAAAAGGGGTTATATCTCAAAAATTAAAACAAACAAACAAAAAATGGATAAAAACCAGTCAGATGCCATGAGAAGTTCAAGGACATAACCATCACAGACAACCACTAAGACTTATCACCGAGGGAGGCAGGTCAGTAATGTGGAGAATGAGTCTCTTTCAAAGAAAACAGGAAGAATAGGGCGGAGAGGAGGAAGGTAGGTCTCCCAGGCTCTGCAACAGGGACATAGTGGCTGCCTGGTCCTCTGGACGCTCCGCCAGTAATTGTCGGGCAAAGGCCTGCTCCATCTGTGCCAGGAGAGGTGGGAAGAGGGTATCATGAGCACAGCAGGGGCGGGCAATACCCCTGCCCCACCCCAGGAGGCCCCTTCTCCTCCTGGATTCCCCTTGCCTACACAGGCAGCTATTCGTCCCCTGCCCTGAACTCACCTGAACTGAGATAAGACTCTGTGGGGTGTGGCTGGGCCCAGGGTACTCCTCTAAGAAATTCAGTGTCACCTGGAACTTCGGTGGGGGGCCCAGGCCCCGGAAGTACCTCTCCAAGTCTGAAAGAGAAAAGGTCAAGGGTTGGAAGAAAAAGAAGGGAGAGGGCCACAGGCAGGGAGGGAGGGATGGAAGAGGGAGAAACCCATAATGGAAAAAGAGAGGTGGCAGCAGGGTCACTTGGAGATGAAGGGCAGAGCAGGAGCTACAGAGTCACAAGGCTGCTGCCTTGTGCCAGGAGAAATGCAAGGAACTAAGTGGCTACTCACTCACGTGTAGAAAGGAAAAAGTACTCCTTCCTCTAGTAGGAAGTATTTAGCAGTTGCGGACTATTACACAACCTGACATGCTGTCTGCTGGGAGAATTGAGAGTCCTCTCAGCAGCAGCCCTGGCTGCTAACAGACATGTGGCCACACCTAAGTTGCCTGCTCCTACTATCTCCCCTATGCTAGGGCACCCATGGCCCTGGAAACACTCACACTCTGTGTCCCCTGTTACTCCTGGAACCTGCTCCCAAAGCCAGATTTAGAGTTGAATGGAGGCAGGAAGTGGAATTCCAAGTGTGGATGGGAGAGGGGCAACCTGAGGGGATGCCTGGAGTGTGGTAGGGAAAGGATGTGTGACATGTGCCAGCTCTCCTGAATGTGTGGGTGGGCGTGTGTGCCAGTGTGTGTAGGAGAGTGCCATGGGGCACACCTTCCCGGGATTACTGTATACTTCCATGTGATGGTGCCCTCTGAGCTGTGACACTCTTGTGCTGGCTCCCCTGAGCCTCATCTTCCGTGGCATGCACTGCGGAAGGAGGGCTACCAGACAGCTGCCAGGGCTGAGCATAGGGCCTCACAAGATGTGCAGCCAGCAAGTGCGGCGTGCCATGCATGGGCTGTGATGGTGGATCTGCTGGAGGGAGCACTGGGTGGGGGCAGGGTAAAGGGGGGACTACTGGGGGTGGGTTCAGGACCTGGGCTACAGCAACCTCACCTCTGCAGAAGTGGGAGGTTTTGAAGAGCTCCACACACTTGTTGCTGGGCAGCAGATGCGGGCCTGGACCAGGTGGGGCATGGGGTGCGCTCCAGGAGATGGGGATGGGACAAAGGCGCTGCACGAAGAGGCCTCGGGAGTTGCTAGCCACCAGGACACCTCTCTCGAGCTGGCTCAGCAGGCGCTGGGTGGGTTCTTGCGGGCCAGGCTTGGGAAACACCACCTGCTCCATGCTGTACTGGGAGCTGGAGGGCTCAGCCACGAGTCGGCAGTCCAGGCTCTGCACCTGGGCCTCACCCACCACATGCCCATTGTAGATGAAGGTGAGCATCAGGGAGTAGTCTGTGGACAGAGAGCGACCAACTGCACCAAGTGCCTCTCCTCAGGGGTACACCTGGTCAGCACAGGGCTCTGGGGAAACAAAGAGGGGCTTCTTGCAAATCCAATGTCCTCATTTTGCTGCTGAGGGACATGAGGCCCAGACAGGAAAAACAAGCAAGGGTTGGGGAGGACAAGGCAGGCTGTGGAGTGGGGGCAGCAGCTATACCTTCTGAGGTTGGAGAAGGCACCATCCCTCCTCATCCTCATTCTCCTCGCCCTCATCAGCAAGGGGCCTCATGTCAGACTTTCCTATCACTCAGGAGAGTAGCTAATAATCAGATTCTCACCTGGGCCTCAAGGCTTAATGCCCAGGGTCTTACGGTTTACAAGAAGTTCCCAGAGAAATCAGTCTTAAAGTGGGTTTCCGGGGAACAGAATGCACAGGGGGTATTTCTGAGAAACAAGCTGTTTGGAGTCTGGAGCTGGCACACTGCCTAGAAACCAGTGCCTCTACCTGGGTAAGGGGAGCCAAAGTCACTGCCAGCCTGACAGATTAGATAATGCGTGTATAGCCACAGGAAGATGACTTGGGGGGACAGGGAGCAGAGATAAGTTAGACATGCTGAGTACCTGAGTCTGGAGGGGGCAGAAGCTCCAGAGTCACCGGATCTTCTTGGAAAGGGGCCTCATTTGTGTTTACACCTGGAAGGGAGAAGCACATCATTCAGAGTGGGACTGGAGAGTCCAAGGGCCAGAGGGTGTGGCATAGGGATGACAAGAGGCAGGGGAGGTGGTACCTTCCTGAGGCTCAGGACTGTTGCTGTTGCTGCTGTTGCTGCTGCTGCTGCTGCTACTTCCAAAGCCTGAATGGCCTGTTCCTCCATTGGCCTCCACCTTCTGCAGACACAGTGTCTATTGTTGGCCCCCTTTCCCTCTAGTTACTGTCCTGCCCTAAGGCCCACCAAGTTCCCTCCCCAGCTCTTACGTTTTTGAGGGGGTCCTGGGGCAAGGAGGGACTGAGTATACAGTTCTTTGTGGTATCCTCATCCTCTTCCCTCTCAGGGGACACACAGCTGTGGTGTCTCTTTGATGGTGATTTCTGGGTTGCTGGTGGGGCTGTGGAATGTTATTGAGGGAAAGAGAAAAGTCAGAGACTTAAGTGGGGACAGAGGGTAGGGGAGAGATAGGAGGCAGTGAAAGGATGGGCAGGACTGGACAGGGGAACCAGGGTGGCAGCTCCCCAAGGACAGGGACAAGGACAGAGGGGCCTAGAGGGAGTCCTACCACCCTCCCAGGAAGTTCATCTCCATCCTTCCTCCCCAGTCTCCTTATTCTAGGAATGGTGGGTAAGGGGACCCTCACCAGGGAAGGTTCCTGGTGGCAGCAGTCGATACACCTTGTAGGGCTCAGCCCCATCTCTATGGCTATTCTCAGGAACTTCCTCAAATTCAGAACTCTTGTTGAGAGCACAGCGCAAACGAGTCTTCCAGATAGCGGGGCCTTCCGTGTCCCCCTCCTTGTACTTTCCCTTAAATATTGCCCAGGCCTAGGAAACAACGTGAAGAGAGGCAGCATGTTACACTCCACCAGGGCCAGCTTCATGGATGTGCGGCCTGAGCACCTGCACAGAAAGGCCTGTGTTGGGTTCATGCTCAGCTGCTGCCTCCTTGAAATCCTTAATAATTTTTGCACTTTCATCTTGCACTGGGCTCTGACAATTATGTAGCTGGTTCAACCCCCTAACCTCCCCTTTATCCGACACCCAGGCAGACACAATCCTTAGAGCATCACTTGGAGGGAGGGGCTGGTTCCCAGGCCCTCTCACCTTGAAGAAGGCAGCATCCTGGTCCTCCCGGAAGTCCTGCTTGCCTGCATGCTTCCAGGGAATCCGGAACATAGTCTTAGCTGCATCTTCCCAGCACACCCCTGGGAACTGTCCACTCTCCACTTGCTCCACTACCCAGCTCCGGAGCTTTCTGGTGCAGCGCGCCCGGCCTGATGCCATCCTGGGAATAAGAGCAGTAGGCAGCATTAGTAGAACCAACCAGCCATTTGGGAGGGAACATGGCTGAAGTCCTGGCCATTTGGGTTGAATTCTGGCAAGAGCCCCCAGAGAGTCAATCCATCTTTTTCTCTAACTCAAAGTTCTGAGTACAAATAGTTTTGTTTCTGTCATCACTAGCAATTACAAAAAAATATGTTCTTTTTAACACCCCAAGCTGTGACATCTCGAAGGTACTGGTCTTAATTTTAAGACTTTCCAGGAACCTGCCCTGGCTGGGTAGCTCTGTTGGTTCGAGCATAGCAGCAATAGGCCAAGGTTGCTGGTTTGATCCCATTAGGCACATACATGAATCAACCAATGAATGCAGAAATAAGTGGAGCAACAAATCAGTGTTTCTCTCTCTCCTTTCTCTCTCTAAAAATCAAATACATTTTTAAAAAAGCAATATTAAGAATTGTCAGGGATCTATCGCTGGGAAGTGAGAATTTCCTTGGTGTTCTATTCCTGGTAAGAGGCCTAGTCTACATTCCTAAATATCACCAACCCTCTTCACCCACCATCCCCACAACCTCTCTTAAGACCCCTAGCCCTCCCCTCTGCTCTCCCCTAGGGGTAGGTGGGGCAGGGTGTGGGGGACAGGGGCGGAGCTGAAGAAGTAGGCAGGGCCAGAAGGCAAGAAAACAAACAGGGTCAAGTGGACTAGAGCCAACAGCCTTCTGCCCTGAAAAACCCAGCAGCAGGTCTTCCTGGCCTTTGCCTGTAGAGCTTGGGACAGGCCTTGGTCAATCTCACTCAGGCCAACCTCCTGTTTCCTGGCTCACAGGCCTTCATTCTATCCCAGTCCAGCAGAAGGGCCCCCAGGAAATCCCACCCATCTCCAATGTGGCTGGGCCTTCCAGCCCTATACCCAGGCTGCCACCAATTCTTGACTGATCTTACCTGAGCAGGAGTGCAGGCAGTCCCAGGGCTCAGCTGACCTCGGCTCAGCTGACCTCAGCTCAGCTCAGCTCAGCTCAGCTCCAGGCTAGGAGCTTCCTGATAACTCCGCCCTGTTTCTACAGTCCCCACCCTAAGTTTCAGTTCTCCTCCCGGGAGGTCCGTTTCCCTGAAATCACGTGGTCTCTTCTGAGTTGCAGGGCGATGGGTGGCCACCAGGGGGAAGCAGCATCTGAGAATCCCGGATGCAGAAGGAACCATCCGAGCTCAGGGTCATTCTTCTTCCTCCCTGGTACTCCTTGCTTGTGTCCCACCATCTCTGTGACATTGTTGCTTCCCCAGGGAGGCCACAGGGTGCTGGAGTCTGGCCCCAGGGCCTCTGGATAGCTCTGTACCACCTACACATTTGTTTCCTGATGGTGCCTGCTTAGTAACTATTAGGTGACCTCAAACATCTTCATCTGAATTTGATGAAGAGAGGCAGGGAAGGAGGAAGTCAGCCCAGGCCAAGTGGTTGGATGGGGAGAACCTCCCCTTGCCAGCCATAGTGTCAATTCCTTTCTGGTCCTGGGTCCAGGGAGGATCAGGTGGTGAGTAGTAGGGGGCCCCTTTCAGCAAAGCTCTGTTCACCCCCCTTTTTCCCTGGTGCTCCCCAGATGGTGGGGTCAGGAAGAAGGACCACCAAGAAGCCTGGGCAAGGAGATGCCTCTTTATTGGTGCTGGAGCTGTTCCTGACAGAGTGGGGCCATGGGACCCTCATCAGGACCCTTGCCCTCAGCTACTTCCTCCTGCGGGGTATACTCTGTCCCAAGGGCACCTCTTCCATCAGCTTCTGCAGAGAGAGAGAGAGATGATGATGATCCTGGAAGCCTGGAGCTCAGACACAGGCTGGACAGGGGACTTCCAGAGCATAGGGTCAGAGGTGAGGCTGGAGGGGAAGCTTCACCTGTAACAAGCGGGCATGGTAGGCAGGGGCATCCTCCCCAGCCAGGGGCTGTGGGCGCACATGCAGGTAGCGCTCGGCAGCCGTCTCCAGCTCCTCCACCTCATATAGAGTGGCTGGGTCCAGTGAATGGGCATTGATGAGGCTTACAAGATACTCTTTGTAGTGTGCCCTGGGGAGAGGAGAGGGTGGGATATTTGTTCTGTTCGGCTAATATTAACTGAGAGTGCCCAGCACCTTGCTGGACACTGGCATACTTGGAACATGACTGACAACCTTCACCTGGGTATGCATGTCAACCTGAGCACATTGCTTGCTACTACCTATCCAGGCCCTTGCCCAGAGAGCCCCTCCCTCCTACTCCTTGCAGGACCTACTGCTCCCAGAAACCCACTTTACTGCCCGGGCACACCCTCGGCACTCCTGTCCCTCTCCCCAACACCAAGTTCCCTGTCTGGCACTTACTGGCAGAGGCCAGCATAGCCAGCTGGTGTCTCCTTGCCACAAGCTTCGTCCCGGAGCCCATTGGGAACCTCCTTCTGCTCCATCACTCGGCAGCCACCTACGGGTAAGGGCAGGAAAAGACACTTTGTTGGGAATAGGCCACTGACAACCAAGCCCTAGGAGAACTGGGATGGAAGCATGGGAGGCAGAGTCCAGGGAGGGGCAGGGGGACAGGAGCCCTTGCTATAACACTGGAGGTGGTGGGGGTACTTATGGCATTGTGGCAGACCAGCTCTTATACAGAAGCAGGGACCTTACTCTCTGTGCTTTTATCCAAGCTGGCTTTTGGGCTATAATCACATACTCCCTGAGACAGTGCTTTTGTGATTTAGCTCTTGCACAGTTAACTTATTCTTTGAAGGTCTTACTCTGTCTAGATGCTAAGAAGTGGGGTATATTAGAACCATATATAACATTTTCTGTTGTCCTCATGGAACCTAAGACAGTGCAACTAGCAAGTCTCAGTAAATACTCATTGAACTAATGAATCATTACCCTTTGCGAATGGGAGAAGAAAGTATCAAGGTGTCAGATGCTTTAATGTGGCCTCACATATAATAGCTGAGCTGGAAGGTGAATATTTACAGAGGAAGAAACAAGGCTCAAATAGGTTAACTCACCAATGGGCACACAAGTCAGCACAGGATGGGTCTTCAGTTCAAGTGTCTGACCCCAGATCCAAGCTTCCCCTTTACCTACTGCATAGTGGGAGCCCAGCCATCCTCTCCCCTTCTCTAAGGCTTGTCCCAACACTCACCTCCAGGGACTGCCCGGGCCCCCGCTGGGGGCTCTGTGTTGAACATGACTTTATTGTCCTGAGAAGGAGCATATGTGTGGGTGTTAGGTTATCCTTGATGCCAGCCCACCAGATTTCCCAGGATAGAGCTTTTCCTTTTCCTTTCTTGTTACCCTAGGCCCTGGCCTCTCTTGGGCAAACCCAGCCAGGTTCACCGCCCCTCACCTGTAGCAGCTTCTGGAGCCGGACAGCACTCCAGTCCCGTAAGTAGAAGAGGCAGTCTCGGGGATGGTGTCCATGCAGAGACTTTTTCACCCTGCAGTTAGGGTCTGGGCATTTCTGGTGGAAACCCAGATGGGAGAGGGGAAGTTGGAGACTGTTGGGGTCCTGGCCTCTCAGGAACCCCTGTGTGAAGGGTGTAGGGGTAGGGGGAGATGGAGAAACTAGAGTGTCTGGAGCAAGCAGAGGGGAAAGGGGACAGAGAGGTAATTTACACCCACCAGCCTCCTCTTCTCTTCCCCTGGGCGGTTACTCAGTGGTCTCTGTCCCTCACACCCAATGGCAGCCCCCTACTCTTTTATCCCTTCCATCCCATTCTTCAGGCTCACATTCTTGGCGTAAAAGGCATTGTAGCATCCACTGCAGAACTGGTGGCGGCACTGGGTGCAGTGAAAGTGCATGCAGCCTCCTCGGGCCAGTGCATATGAGAACTTGCACTTGGGGCAGTCTGCAAGGGACATCAGGGCTAGGGCTATCACTGCTCCATGAGACTCTCAAGAAGAGAGCCAATGGCAACCATATATTACTGGGCAAATAGGCCTAGGAGGCAGCCTTACCAATGCCATTTTCCTGAAGGTACATTGCCAGGCCTTGGGCCTGGTATTCTGGGTCATTGGTGCGTTTCCAGTTCTGGAAATCCTCGCAGCTCCGGCCCCGGTGCTGCTCCTCCCACTGCCAGAAGGAAGCAAGAGTAACACAGACGCTCCATCCTAGGCCCTTCTTGCTGGCCCCTCCACTCACATCCAGTGTTCCCTGGCTTAGTGTTCACTGCCATTTACCATTTGCTCTAATCCCAAACTAAGAATCCAGCCTTGGGGCTTTCATTTCCTCATACCACCATATATTCACCAGGAAGTCTTGTTTCTAACACCTAAGCCTAGTTAACATTGTACCAGTGTCTATTTCACAACCCTGTCCTCTTCCTCTTCATCCCTACTGTGACCATCTTACTCTGAGCCAGATCAGGTCTTGCCTCAATTACTTGACTGTTACAAGTTTCTCTGCCTCCACTGAGGCTCCCCTATGGTCCATCTTCAACCTTGCAGTCAGAGTGCCTTTGAAAGTATAAGTCAGGCAGCTTTAACAGGATTGGGAGTGTTCTAGATTTGAGGTTTGATGGTAGGGTCTCAGGGCTTTTTGGGTTTTGTGTGTGTATGTGTGTTTAAATTATTTATTGATTTTAGAGAGAGAGAAAGGGAGAGAAAGAGAAACAATGATTTGCTGTTCTACTTATTTATGCATTCATTGGTTGATTCTTGTATGTGTCCTGACCAGGGATCAAACCCACAACCTTGGCATATCATGATGACACTCTAACCAACTGAGCTACCAAGCCAGGGCTCAGGGGATTATTTTATTGTGTTTCATAATATAGATATAACTTTGGTATCAAATATTAAACTTTTTAAAAGGTAAATGATAATTTAAAAAATTAAATAAATAAAAGGTAAATGAGATTGTATCACCCCTTGCTTGGTCTTAGAATGGAAGGCAAATACCTTCCTCACTTGGCCTCAAGGCCTCTCCTGATCTGGCAGCTAGCTCCTCTCCAACTACCTGCCACTTTCACCCTTGCTCTTGAAGCTCCAGCCACACTTTTTTTTTCTGACTTCAGCCTTTCCATGTGTTCTTCTTCCTGTCCCAAATACTTTTTGCATAGTTGACTTCATCTTAACTTCCAGGCCTGAGCTTAAATTAACCATTTTAGAGTGGACTTGTTTGACCTCTCTATCCTAGGTAGGTCCTTTCCATTACTCCTAATCTCAGTTTCCTTCTGTTTTCTTCACAGAACTTATGTCCATGTATAATTATGCTCTTTCTCCCTCCCTCACTTCTTTCCTTCCCTCCCTCTCTCACCACTACCCTTCTTCCTCCTTTACCCCACCTTTCATCCCTCTTCCCTCCTTCACCCTTCCTCCCCTTTCATCCTTCTTACCCCCTCAAGCTGCTTCCTCTATCTCCCTCCCACCTTTCCTCCCTCATCCTTCCTTTTCCTCCCTCTCCCCCCGCCCCCAGTCTGTAAGCACTTTGAGCCCAGAGCTCATGTCTGTTCTGTTCTCCAACACGCCCCGATCTAACAGAGTACCTGCCAGCAGCTCAGCAAGTATTTCTGGAAGGATGGATGTGCCTCACCTGGCGCTTACAGCGCACACAGAAGGTCTGGTGACACTGGGGACATGTTGCCTCCAGCTGCTCACGCTCATATATGAAGCCAAAGGAGCACTGTGGGTGCAAGAGCATAAAGCTATCTGAGGTGTGACCTGGCACCAACCCTGACTTTCCAGTCAATTCTGCTGGGCAGGTCACTTACCTGGGCACACCACAAGAACTTGGGGTCCCGCATGAGTACACCCTCAGTCAGCTTCTTGTGGAACAGGGCATAGGCATCTGGCTCTAGGCTCTCTCGAAGCTGGAGACAGAACACAGAGGTGGTGGGCGGGCAGGGTCCCTATTCAAAGCCCAGGAACTGAGACTCAGAAACTGCAGTACCTGGATGTCGAGAGTGGAGAAGTAGCTGAGCAACTGTGTGTCATCAGTGAGGTCGGGTCGGCCACAGGCGGGGCACACCATGTCAGTGATGTGCTTCTCCTTCAAGGCGATGGTGAAGTGCTGACGGAAGCAGTCAGGACAGATGGTGCACTCACAGGAAGTCAGGGACTGCATCTAGAGGGTGAGTGGGGAGAGATGGGGGTCAGAAGCCACAGCTGCCAGTCTGGGGAAGGGGCAGTAGCCAGGTGTTTACTGAGAAACCACTAGTTAACAACTGGGCAGGAGTAGCAACCTCAAATGCCAACAAGTGCCAGGCTGGCAACCTAAATGTCTCAAGACTGTCAAGTAGAGGAAAACAGACAATGGTAACATCTAAGGCAAACTGAACAATGCCCTCTAACGGAATTCACATTCAATTAAAAGGAAATAGCCGGTGTGGCTCAATTTGTTGAACATCCTCCCATGCACCAAGAGGTCGCCAGTTTGATTGCTGATCAAGGCACATGTCTGGGTTTAGGGCTTGATCCCCAGTGTAGGGCATGCAGGAGGCAGCTGATTGATGTTTCTTTCTCATGGATGCTTCTCTCTCTTTCCGTCTTGCTTCCTCTCACTGAAGTCAATAAAAACATTTTTTAAAAAAGCTAGCACACGAATAATCTT